CAGTGGATGTCCTGCGTGACTGTGTCATAAAACACAGTACTATGCTACAGGTGGCTGGTTGTCTAAGGCATGTTTCCACAGTTGAGGAAAAGAAAGACATTGTGTCTGACTATCTCCGGTGGTATATAATTGCTCGAAACTCATCTGTAATTGAGAGGTGAGACTACTATAGAAGAGACTATAGAATTATTGTTATGACGGTGTTGTGCATAATTTCCGACTGAAATGTTTTACATTCTCCAAGGTTTCCAGAGTTCAAAGTTTGTCCATAGTTTGTGCATGTATTATGAACTGGTAAATTACATAAAGTTCTCCTCATTCTTTAGATTTAAAGATGGTCTTTCAGCACTTCATTTCCTGAGTGCACTCCAGCAACACCCTACTTTGCTTTCCCCGGTCCTGTGTCACATGGAAAAGAAACTCACAGCTCTTGAACTTGAGAGACTTTTCAAACCTGACTTCAGCCCATCTGGAAGTAACAGGAGACGTCTGGAAAGTCAAACTGTGGGCTACTGGTCAGACTATCTGCTTGACTGTGAAGGTGTATACCAGTATTTCTTTTAGTACTCATTACAAGACAATGTGTTGAGTTCACATATACATATATAATTTTTTACATGTATTTTTATTTTTTGCAGAATCACAAACTGCTGTGTCAGTGGGCGATGTTCTGATGTTTGCAACTGGGCTAACATCACTGCCACCTTCTGGATTAGATCCACTACCAAGCCTACAGTTCCTGGATGACTCTTTATTCCCGATGGCAAATACATGCTTAAACTTATTGAAACTACCAATGATAACCTCATATTCCATGTTTAAATCCAACATGGATTTTGGAATTCAAAACTCCCCAGGATTTGGATGTTTCTAGGATGTCTGGCCTTGTAGTTCAAACCTGCTGTTGATTTGTTTCTCAAGTTTTTAAGTCAAGATTTTTTTTTTTTTAAAGATGTTATGAATAGGAGAAGGTGGGACATGCTGGTGGTGCAGCACAAATCCATTATAGTTTACCAGGGTTATTGTAGTTTTATTAGATAACCCAGTCACTTACAGCTGCTTCTTCTTGGCATTACATTGTAAATTCTGTAGTTTTTTTGCTACGGGACTTATCCAGAAATCAGTTGTGTATTTGAGCATGGTTTTTTTTATTCTAAAATGTAGGTACATATGTTCAAAGGACATTTAAAATACAATGGCTTGACTTGATTTGTTCAAAGGTTTGACAGTGCTACTAAAAGTAAAGGCATTTAAAAGTGTTCTACTCTTAAAAGTTGTAATAAACACACAATACAGTGCAAGATTTGATTTTGATTTGATTTATTATTGATCTAAATGTTCAGGACTGTATCTCAACTTCCATCAGCTAAACAAGGACCAGAATTAG